GTGGCTGTGACTGGAGATTATGAGGGACAGCCTTGAGGGGAGATCAGTTTGCCCTCAGTGACATGGTTGAGTACTGGGCTTGGCAGTGCTGGGGTAACAGTTGGACTCAATGATCTTAAAGGTCTTTTCCAACCTAGCTGATTCTATGAGTCTATGATCCAGCAGTCACCTCAAAGAAAGGTGGTCAGAATACAGAGGGTTCAATTGCCAAGAGGTTTGTTTAAATCTGCCCTCCTTTTCCCTACGGAATTCTCAAGAAGGTGGAGAAAATCACACCAGTGTTGTTAAATCAGGTAGTTGTTACCCTGACTCTCCTTATCCTAAGCTAGGCATATGTCCTGCATCGCTACACATCCAACTTAACTGTATATTGTACACCCGTCAAAATGAATGCTTTGGTATTAAAGTGTTTGTGGAAGCATTAACAGAAAGTTGATTTCCCAGCAGGGATACACCACTGCAGCACATCAAAGAAGAGCACACGTGGATATCGGCACAGCTCAGACATGACTTGCAGAATGATTATGTTTTACATGTGAGACTATGAAGTCCTGTTTCAGTTATGTAGCAAGGAGCACTTACACATTACTGACAGTAGAAAGCACAGCAGTTACCAAACCCTTCCACACTGAGATGCTGAACAAAAACACAGCAAAAAGCTGTCATTGCAGGCTATGAATTAGGTTGATCTGACATCTTCTACTCCATCACAGTCTTGACTTAGTGACAAAGTCAAGCTCCTGTATCAGGAGACCTGCAGGCCTAAATATCAGCCTTGAGAAGAGAAGGTCCATGGAGACTTCAGAGCAGCCTTCCAGTATCGGAAGGGAGCCTACAAGGATGCTGCAGAGGGACTCTTCATTAGGGACTGCAGTGATAGCACAAGGGGTAACGGGTTAAAACTTAAACAGGGGAAGTTCAGGTTAGGTATAAGGAAGAAGTTCTTTACTGTGAGGGTGGTGAGGCACTGGAATGAGTTGCCCAAGGAGGATGTGGATGCTCCCTCTATCCATGGCAGTGTTCAATGCCAGGTTGGACAGAGCCTTAGGCAACACGTTCTAGAGTGAGGCATCCCTGCCCGTGGCAGGGGGGTTGGAACTAGATGACCTTAAGGTCCTTTCAAACCCAAACCATTTTATGATTCTGTCTGCTTAAACATGGCTCAAGAACACTGGATGGGACTGGAGGCTTGTGTGATACTGCACTATTGTTTTGCTAACTAGTTACAGCTGTTGTATTCAAACATTTGAGGAGGAACAGTATTTAAAGCTGGCTATTGTAGCCAAAATATCACCACAGAAATGAAAACTAGTGCTTTATCCCATTGCCTGAAATCCCAGCTTTTTTTATAAACACAATATAGTTCCATAAATAAATTACAAAAAAGCCCCAAACCCCAACACCCCAAAACAGACTGTGAAAGCCCCTGCAGGGATGGGTAGAGGGTGTGGAAGGAGGAGAGCACTGGTACTACAATGCCCTCATTCCCTGACTCTCAACAGGATGACTCCCTGATCTAAGCAGAAGCACTGTGCACTGCATGCCACTGTCTGCAGGAAGAATCAGGCCCTCTAACTTCATTACCTGGTGGCTCTAGAAAAGAACAGAAGTAACAACACAAATGCTTTGGGAAGCAATAAGCCCAGTCTTGGCTCGCTACTCATAAACCTAGGAACTGCCAAGACGCACGCACGCTCACAAATATGTTGGCTGCTCTACTGCTGGCTAACTCCACTGTTCAAAATGACGTTGAATAAATAAAAAATTAGAAGAAAAAAAGCAAAGCTGTACAAGAAAACAAACTGCCCACTTCCGTACAATATTTCTATGAAGCTCATCCTTTCAGCGACCTGTGGCCACCAACCCAGAGCCATTTTCATCCAAAGGAATGACTTCAGAAACCAGCCTATTGCCACATGCACCCATATTTAATAATTCTCATGTGCTCTTTGCTCAGTCCCCTCAGTTTAGCAGCAAAACAAAACATCTTTAACTTCTTTCTTTCCCTGAAGAGCTTCTAAACTGAATGCTGGGAAGAAAAACTCTGAAAAGACTCCACGGGATAAGAGCAACGTAACATGCACTGCTGTAGCAAAAGTACCAAACACACATGTTAAGGCTGTGAAGCCACATGTTTTTCATTTGGAATGTGTGGGGTGAACACATACGCCTGCCTCCTTTATAACATCAGCACAACAAAGGGAGGCTTTGTTTGAAAGCCAAGGGACAGCCTCTCTGCACACTTAAAGGCTAAGTTATAACGTAATGGGAACTGTGAGTCATAGCTATGGGGCCCCTACTCATAGCACAAAAATCCCCTCCACTGCATCAGGAAAGGAGCTTAGTGAGGAGCAAAGACTGAAGTGTCCAGGACTAGCAGCAAATACAAGGCTGAGCTAAGAGCATGTGTTGTGGATGACTTAGGATGTTGACATTTCTTCCTGCAACTTCAGTTGACGTTTCTTCCTGTAACTCCTTCAGAGCTTGAGATCACGGCCCTGCATGCGTTCCAAATGCATGAAGCAGCTCAAGAGGATGGTCATCAGCCAAGCACCTTCAGACTGCCTTGTGACTTTGGCTGCAGAAGAGAGTGGCCATAATACTTAGACTGAACACAGTCAGCTCACCAAGTAGGACTGCAGTGAAGCTCTATGTCCTTAAGTCACTTAGTAAGCCAGACAATTTATGTCACTGTTATTTATGTTACACAATTTATGTTACAGCAGGGGAGGGTCAGCTGATGGGATTCTAGCTACCCAAAAGACAGCCACCCATCTCATCCTTGCCCCTGCTAGCCTAGGAGAAAAAGATAAGGGTCTTCAATTACAATGAGTCGTTGCAATCCACAGTGCAGAAGTGGCTGTGCTGCAGAAAATCCAACCTTCCCAAGATATTTGGTTGCTAAATCTCCAGAGGCCTTTAGAAATCAAACACTCATCTGAAACTAGTGGCAGTTAGGTACCTGAACATCCAGGAGGGAACAGCTTAGGATCTAAGCATTTTGGGTGCAGATCACAAGTCCCTCTGGGAAGCACTAGACTGTGAACATCAAGTCTCACAGTTTAAGCTTGAGAATGTCTCCTTAGCTCCATCATTGATACATATTAATATTCTACAAATATTATTTAAAAGATTCTTAAAAAATAGGGTAAAAAGAGATCTCTAAAAGCAATACAGTCTCCCCCTTCTGCCTTTGTGCATGGCCTACACTGTGCCTGGATGGTTTCTGGCAAGTCTTTGCCTGCTTCTGAAAAGCTTCCAGCAAATCTCCGTCTCTGCTTCCCAAGGCAGTCTAGACTACTGGTTAACTACCTCTACCTGTAGGAAAGTCTCTTTCTCACTGCATGAGCTTTCTCCAAAACAAGCTGTAAGCCCTGCTGGGATTCTGGCCCATGCAGGCAGTATCTTGTCCTAGGGAGCTACTTCCCTCCCTGCAAGCAGCATGGGAACCATTTGCTCCCACTCCTCATCAGGTGCTCCCTGAGCATCACCGAATCTTCTGCAATTAGGAAGAACTGAAAGCAAGGCACCCTGAAGCTGATTTTCATCACTTCCATTTGAGTTTGGCCACAAACTCTATTTTTATAACCAACGGCACCCGCCATCCCTTGAGGCAACATAGAGGAAGATGCAGTTGGTTGCGCAGGTGGCTCAGCTGACACCCTGCAGCTAATGCTCTGCCTGAGCAGAAAAGTGACCTGCTCTACGTGCTCTTCCTCCTGGTTTTGAAAGTGAAGGAACAGTATGTTTTCCTTTGCCAGGCAACTGAAATAACCATATGAATTGGAGACTGTGCCTAACAGGGCTTAAATTCTGCAACAGTTGGCCTCAATGGTCTTCTTAGTTGCCAACACCATGCTTGGTTTTTCCAAGCCACATGTACAGCCATAGGGTGCATCAGGTATTTTCCCTATAAATGCTGAAAAAACATCTCTGCCTTGAGGCAAATATCCTGATATAAATGATGTACTAGATTAGCCAGAAAAACCTGCCTCTGGAAGAGGGTAGTAATGAAAGACAGTGAGGGGAAAGGAAAAAGAGAAAGAGCTTAATTTACACACAGGAGGATGGCAATGGGCCGGCTCTCACAGCTTTGATCGGAGCTGGCTGGAGCAGCATGCCAGGGAATGCTGAGCTGAGCTTTGCTAAAGCAGAGCAGGCGTTTGAACTGACTCGGATGGGAAGAAGGGGACAGACATCACCCAACACAGCACAGATCCAGAGTAAGTGAGAAAGAGAAAAAAAATCACATGGAGTAAATGAAGTAACAGGTACTCAGAGCTGCAGCAGGACATCGTGGCTGCCAGGACTGCTGCTCTGGCTGCTCTAGGTCCTATGTTTCCACCACTTCTGCTCACAGAGCTTCTGCCACATGCTCACAAAGCAGCACTGCCCCATGTCTGGGCTTCACCCAGCAGTTCTGCTTTCAGTGGGTTTTTAGGGGTTTTCATACAAACATCAGAACTCTACACACTGCTGGCTTGTAAGAGCTGCTATTTCCCTTTGACCTGGCTGCTTCTGCTTTTCTTCAGGAGGCTCTCCTGATACTTCCAGGCCTTTGCTCCCCCACTAAAACCTGAATGAGGGGGGAACTAGAATTCTTCCAACTGGGTAAGGTACCTCTGGCAAGTCCTCCTGCATAGCAGCAAATGCAGCAGTAGCTGTTATCAGCAAAGCTTGGACCTGTTGGTTCCCTTCTGCCATCCCTCTCTGACTAGATGCCAACTGTCCTAACCAGTCAGATAAAAGCAAAATGCCAAATGCCAAAAGAGAGGCTTTTAGCACTGATCTAAACAGAAGCCATTTCCAAGTTAAACCGTCACAATATTGCTACTTTTGCTTTGCATGCTGTGTGGCCCTTGCTGCTGGGAACATCTACTACAATATGAGCCACACCACTTTCCTTCCGGCATTTCTGCTGCAAGGCTCAAGATCTCCTAGTGAGAGCCCATCATTTTAAAATCACACCATATCTGGAAGGAAGAATGACCCCCAGGCACTTACCTGCTACACGAATTTGCAGGTGCTCATTAAACTTCACATTACTATCACCGTGATGCAGAGAAGGCTAGATTCAGTCACCCACCACTGAGGCACAGCCAGGAAGTCTGCAAGACACACAGAAAATGAATGAGGAAGTTCCTGCAGAAGATGGGTATATAATGCAGTTATCTAAATTAGGGACTGATTAAAAGATCACTTCCTTACCTAATAAAATGATCATAAAAGTTCAAGAGGCCAGAAATAATCAGCTTTGAAGTGATCAGGACAGAGTTAAACTGCTGCTTCTCCTATGGGAAAGCCCTTAAATCACACCATGGGTCTGTCAGCGTTGCAGACATACCAGCAAGCAAAGACCTCCCTCTTCTCACTCCATCCTCACCCACCAACACTCTCCTTTTAAAATGGACTAGGGTCAAATTAGCAGCTGCATAAATGCAAGGGCTGAGACAGTTTTGTCTGGGATTGGTTTGTCTCAGAAAAGGCAAGTAGCTGCTGTTAAGCAGCTTGCAAGGTAGAAATACTTGCTTGGGGAGCTGGGTTTAAAAGCTAACATGAGAAACAAAAAACACAGGAGAAGAGGCAGGAAGTCTGAGAGCATGCAGGAAGATGTGAAACACATAACCACAAAAGATAAACTACCATATTTCAGCAGATAGAAGTTAAGCAATTTTAGATGAAACAGGAAACAAAGTTCTCCAGCCAGGAGAGGACAGGACCAACAAGATAGTTGCAGGCAGTCAGGACATTACCCAGCTGCACGCAAATGGGCAGGGGAGCAGGAATATGCTGCCCTCATTACCAAACTCCGTCACTACTTCAAACCCCCTGGCTGCCTTAATACAAAGCCTGATGAAATCCTGAATAGTGTGGGCTGAACCAGGTCCTTTAAGGGCTTAGTTTAAGGTGGATATGTACTTGCTCTCCTGAACCCCTCACTTCGGCAGCCTTTGGGTAGGAATGGATCTTTCCTCCCACATACCTGCTCCACCAGACCTCATGGGTAGTTTCACTTCTCTGTTTCTGTCTTCAACTGTGAGGCCAAATGGGCTGTGCCTGACCTCCCTGCTCTTTGCAGGCTGCAGGGCTCCTTGTGCCTCTGCTCAACCAGTGCTGTGATGCTAGCAGCAGCAGCACAGACTGCCAAGCATGGGAGCAAGAGAGCCCAGTTCCAAAAGGGCTGGATCTGCACTGTCATATCCCAGTGGATGTTTGCCAGCCTTCAGAACCTACAGTGCCTGGTCTCATGATGGCTCAGGACCAGTTACATATAGCATGCACTTCTGCTTGAGGAAAGGAGCTATGAATTGGATCTGCTGCTGCAGGAGTTATGTGCTCACACTTGTTAGAATGATATTTAAATCTCCAAAGAGAAAGTCTGGGTCTCCCTCTATTACATGGGTATAGATGTTGGAGAGACCTTGACTGAACCTTAGGGAATGATCTAAGGTCACTACAAGAAGGTCCTTCTTAGCAGTGGGTGCATCTGTGCTGCATCCTCATATACTGGCACAAACCTCCTCTCACTCCCTCAGAAGCAGTCCAAGCAACACAGCACAGTATTTGTTGTAGGTCAGCCCTACATGACAGCCTCCTCTCCATGCCAGAAATCAAACCCACCCCTACTCCAATGAAATTCAGCTGCTAGTCCGGTCTTTAGGTTGTGCTAATAAGACCCATTTGTTTTGCTGAATTGCCGGACAAGGTTGGCTCGATGTGGAAATCTAAACAAGCTTAAGAAAGAGCCCTGTTGCAGCTGCACCCCTAGCCAGATCCATCCCTAAGGCTACTTGAGACCTGGCTACCTGCCTCCCTTCCTATTACCCATGCCAAGGGTGAACGGGCAGGTTCTGCTTACACAGCTGAGCCCATGTCCCTGCAAAACCTGGAATTCATGGTTGGGCACACGAGGATGCACACACCCTGGCCACTTTCCCTCCCGCCTGAAAACCAGAGTCTCTACCTCTCTCCACTACCTAGCAATTACATTTGCTGGTGGAAAGTATGCTGTCTGGCAGCAAACCTGCTTTTCCCCAGTATAAATGGATTATAATAACACTTGGGAGAGAAAAAGCTGGCCCACCCAATAGCCCATTTTAAAGGGGATCTGATGGAATAAGCCAGGAGCTTTTTTTCAGCTCCCTTCTTCATTGCACCATTGCTAGCAATTGCAATTGCAGAGGAGAATGTGCAGGACAGGACAGTCTTGCAGACTCTTCATGGAGTTTATATACTTCACCAGTGCTCCCCTGGACAACTTCTTCTTAATGCTCACCGTGTGAGTATAGGCTGAGTTTAGCTTAGATTTTGCCAGGACAGTTGTTTTGCAGATGTGTCAGTAGAAAACAATACAACTGGAAAAATAAACCACCCACCCCTTTTGTTGTGTACCCACTGCACTCAGGAAACTAATTTAAGCTATCAGGCACAGAATAGGGGAGACGCACCCCACAATACAACTCATTAAGCATATTTCATGATATCACACCATCTGCTTTAATTTACTTGCAGGCAAGCTCCAAGATAGTAAATAGTCAGCAGGTAGATAGCTGGACAGTTGTAAAAGCCAGCCTAAAGCTGGCCTTTTGAAAACCATGGGTTTTGCTTAAAAAACAAACTTAGAAATTAGTTGGATCAGCTCATGGAACACCAACGTTAGGTTTCTGTGGGTCAGATTCCTTTCTCCTGTTACTCATTGCCACGTAAGGAGGATCACAAGCACTGGCATCCCTGTGAGAACGCTGTGCAGCACAGGCACACGGAAGCCCTTATTGCCATGGAGAGAACCAACAGAAAACAAAAGAGCAGAACATGCAGTTTTGGTGGCCCTAGTCATCAGACATCCCAAAACAATCACTAAGGAAAACCGAATTCCCCCACTCCCCAACCAGGGCTATTTAGTCTAAGCTGTAGAGGAAAAAAAAACCCAAACCGAAACAGAAGAAGCTGTTCTTAGTATACTGGGATGCTTAAAGCAACAGAAAGAGGAAGGCAGTTAGGTGGGGAGGGGCCACAGGCTGAGCTCTTGATAAACAGGTACAACATCTTAGGTATGCACAGGTAATTTCTTCCTTGCAGATGCGCTTGTGCAAACACAGATCACTGCATTCTGTACACCAAAGTCGTGCAAAAGATGAAGCATCACCTACCAGCTGGGAGCCAAGCAGCCCTCAGGGCTGATCCCAGTACTGACATTGGCTCTCCAATCTTCAGCAAATCAATTCATCTCTTTCACATCTGTGGCAATCCCACTTACTATGTACATTTCCCATGTGGGAGCAGCGTGAAGCATCTATTGTGCTAAAAACAAGGCTGAAGGGAAGGCTTTAAGTTTCCATTCCTAATTTCCATGCTCCATTTCCTGTACATTAACGAAAAAATGGTTTTAAAAGCAGATGCCTGTGAAGGTAGGCAGAATCATTTTAGTCAGAGCTGCAAACTGAACTCAAAAACCTCACAAAACAAGCTATACTACACTATAGCTGCTCTCTTGTCCAAGTGATGTTTGCCTGGCAGCTCAGGCCTTGCCTGGTAGCTCACACCAAACACATGCCTGAAGGAGATGCACTGGGTATGGTTTAGGCCTATAGCACTCATTAAAAACCCATGTTAACAGTAACAATTGCTTAGAGATGCTGCTGGTGCTCATCTTGCCTGACCACGTAACACACCAACAGCAACAAACCCTGTTTTCCTGATGGATTTTAATTTGGCAGTTCCCAAGAGACCTGCTTAAGGGAGATTGCCAAAGTGAAGATGCAGAGGCTCTGGTTCCGCGTGTCAGTTTTACAGCCCATGATTCCCAGTATCCCATACTCCAACTTGAGCTACAAACATGTACTGGCCATCTTCACAAAGATGCCCACACACATGAACAGCACCTCTACTAAAACCATCGCGCCATCTCTCTGTACTCATACGCTGTATCTCAGAAGAAAGGCAAAGAAATTTTGTGCCAAGCCCAAGCCACACACAAGTGAAGGCACAGGGACGCTCCATGATGCGTTCTGCAAGGGCTGTACATCCCTAGGATCACCACTGTCCTCACCATCATAGAGGCGGCTGCGGGCTCTCTCCTCAGCACGGCTCGGTCCCGCAGATGCTCCCCATGGGCTCCAGCTCCTCTGAGGGGCTGCGGCACTTCTTCCCACAGCCCACAGTGCCCCCGAGAGCCGTATCCTTCTGCCCGGACCCGGAGGAAAGCCGGCAGCGCTGTTCAAACTCCGGCGGGAGCAGGCGTCTGCCTGGGGGACTGACCCGTCCCCCTGCCCCAACACCCACCGAGACGCGTCACTTGCGCAAGGACAGCGCGCAAAACGCAGAAGTTACTCCGGAAAGAACCCGGGGTCGGTCGCACCAACGCGACCTGTTGCAATCGGACGCGGTACCCGACCCCTCGCGGCTTTTCTCTCTGAAACCGCCGCAGCAGACACGGCCAGAGCCCTCCCTTTGTGTGCCCGGGATCCCCCCAGCCCCGAACGAGACTTACTGGGCCGGGCCAGGGCTGCCGTAACCTGCGGAGCTCGGCGCAGAGCGGCGGTGTCGGGGCGTCCCGCGGCGGCTCCGCTCGGCTCCGTGCCGAGCCCGCCCAGCCTGGCCGGAGCGGGTTCCCTTTCCTCTTGGGTGGTTTCTCTCCTCCTTCCAACCACCGGAGCCAGCCCTAGGACCCGAGCCATTCCCCGGGAGGCGGCAGTTCGCTGCCCCAGGTCCCTCCCGTCTCCCCCGTTAGCTTCCCAGATGGTTTTGTACTGAGGGCACGGGGGACGGAGAGGAAATGCGCTCATTGTGCTTGTCGGATGTATTCTGACCTCCTGGTGGTCGTGCCTGAGGGTCAGGAAAGCAGCTAAAACACAACCTCGTTCGTTGCTCTTATCAAAGCAAGATCCCAGGGATGCTGAGCTCAAAGCTGGCACAAGCAGAAGCTTGTGAAGCTGGCTATCAGCCTTCCGAGGCAGAGAAGTGGTAGAGAACTTTTCCTGTAAGGGCGGGGGAGCTGGGGCAGGACAGGGTTAAGTTACCAGAGACAAAGCCCATGATAGGGGATTTTAAGAAGTGTTTTACAAGACTGCCTTCATTCTTCAGTTAAAGGGCATCTTACAGATCTAGAGAGAAATTAATTTGCTCAGCAACTGTTATTTCCCCAAAGAAGCTTGAGGGCACCAGGTTTGAGAAACAGCATAGTAACCCCTATCTAGCAAGTCATGGGAGAGGATTCTCCCCCTCTACTCTGCCCTCATGAGACCCCACCTGCAGTCCTGTGTTCATCTCGGGGAGTCCCAACACAAGAAGGATGTGGACCTGTTGGAGAGAGCCCAGAGGAGAGCCACAAAAATGCTCAGAAGGCTGGAGCACCTATCGTGTGAAGACAGGCTGAGAGAGTTTGGGTTGTTCAGTCTGGAGAAGACTTCAGGGAGACCTTAGAGCAGCCTTCCAGTACCTAAAGGGAGCCTACAAGCAGTCTGGAGAGGGATGCTTCATAAGAGCAACAGCGATAAGACAAGGTGGGATGGCTTTAAACTGAAAGAGGGTAGATTTAGATTAGATATTAGGAAGAAGTTTTTTACTGTAAGGGTGGTAAGTCACTGGCACAGGTTGCCCAGGGAAGCTCTGGCTGCCCCATCCCTGGCGGTGTTCAAGGCCAGTTTGGACAGGGCTTGGAGGAACCTGGTCTGGTGGAAGGTGTCCCTGCGTGTGGCAGGAGGCTGGAACTCGATGATCTTTAAGGCCCCTTCCAACCCAAACCATTCTGTGATCCTATGATCCAGTTTAGGGGACCTACAGATCCCTTTATTTCCATCTTCCTCTTTCCACAGCAGTGCAACAACTGTCTTACATTACCACTGGTATGACATGTTGCATGTTCTCTACAGTTGTGCTTTGATTTTATTTTTGTTAAGCTCTGGTGGTGGACATGTGCTGAGGTGGGAGACAATCTGTGTCAGATTGCACTAACAATCTGCAGTATCGAGAGGGCACCAGGTAAATGCAATAGTGCAGCTTTGCATCGGAACCATCTTGGTGCTGAGTAATAACTGGGACTGTTAAGTTGGCCCGTTCTTTGAATATCCTGAAGTCCTTATTGAATTAGTAACAGTTTTAATGTTATTCAAAGGGTTTGTGTTTGTAAATGTGTGCATATGGGTATTACTTCCTTAGTGTCTGAATCAAGTTTACTCAGGTTTATTGGCAACCTGGGTGTTGTTAGCACATTCCTTTCTCATTATGTCATAATCTATGAAAATCATCTCTAGCAAGAGCTGGAATTTCCCTGCTTCTGTGCTGCAGGACTCGGCCTGTCTTGGTGCATTATTTATTTCCTCTGGGAACTTCACAGCAGCAGCAGGAGAGAACACAGCTCCTTCTCCAAGATCACAGCTATTCATCACCTAAGCCGAAGGAAAATATCTATTAAATATCAGCTGCATAAAGGCTGACAAGGTAGTAATTACTGATTCTGGCCATGTATATATATATATATATATGTTCACACACACACACTTTGAACAATACAAATCACTATAGGTTACAGTGACTTCAATTTACATTCATCTGCAAAATTTCTGTGAGATACAGGGATAAGGCCTGAACATTTTTCAAAGAAAGCCTCACATCCCAACAGATTATATTACAAATCCACCATCCCATTCAGGATCTACTTTCTGTGCAACCTAAGATGGTATAAAATTATGATAACAATACGATACATGTAAATGGAAAAGTCAAACCAAGACACATTCAATTTGATTTGTATTAGGTTTTTTGATGCAGTTCAGCAGTTTGAAAGAGGAGGGAAAGCTAGAAGCACATATCCTGACAGCTCCAGCACATGATTCATTGTTTGAGTATTGCTGCACTGCAGAAGGCTTAAGATCATTATCTTGCTAAAGGTAGTAATTTATTTGATAATGAGCCAAGCTCCGCTAGCCTTACTCAGATGTTGGCCAGGACCTGAAGCTGTGACCAGTGGAGTAACAGTACCACAGTTCCTCTCATGCTGGGACATAGTCTGTGTCTCTGTGATGTGACTGCTACTGCAGCAGAAGGGAGATACAATAATAATATTATTTCTAAAATGGACTCTCAGATCTCATCAGCAGGAGCAGGACAAGATCAAGATTTGGCCTGAATGTTAAATTCTAGGCATCTTTCTCAGCTGTTTTTGGCATGTTAGAAGATAGAGGAATTATTTTATTCTTTCCACTAGTGTTTCTAAGCCAGTACAAAGCTAGCAGTATTCATTTAACTGTAACAAGCAGTAAATAAAAAAAGTCATCTTGCAAGATCTACAAAGAGGGAATAGGTATGCAATAGAGAGGCCATGGGTAGGCAGCAGTGAAACAGGTTTTAGTACAGCTTCCAGCTGTCCCCTTCACAAGGAACACAGGAGATGGCAGCCAACCTGGAGCACAGAGAGGAATCACATTAACATTTAACACAGAGAAAGCAGGAATGATAATCTTGCTGGAGTCAGGCCTTGCTGGGGCCTTTTAGACTGCAAGTGTTTGTGTAAGCCTAAGGGAGACTGCAGCAGGACAGTTTTCTAACAGGTACAGCTCAGCATGATCCAGCACAGCAGGAACATGAGCAGACCAAAGAGAGAAGGGAGCAGGAGACTCCTCTCCATCCATGAATATTTCACACCTCATAGTTACCGTGCAAGGAAACGTGCAGGGAGATGGAGTTCCCTCCTCACAGCTCACCATATGGTGTCTCCATCTACCCAGTTACACCTGACCTTATGAACGTCTTAAATCTCTGTGATTTCTATAGCCTTCCTTGGGTATTAAGGTTTTTTTTAATAGCCTCTTCCTCCCTGAGGACTCAAGTGTCGAGTAGTGAAAGATGCCAGACAAATTTTCAGCTAGGGAAGATTTGGTGGTTGAGAATTAAAAGGGTGAAGAATAACAGGGAAACAGGAGTCAGAGATTAGGGCCTGGATTCTGCTGCTGAAACTGTAAAGCTGTTGGAAAGCATGGGGGGAAGTAGTTTCTGCTAATGAACATGTGTCATAAGACATATTTTAAGCTCATTTTCAAATATACCCAAGTGTTCATGATTGGGAAAACAGCCATGGATCAGAACTGCTAAGCAGGTAATGGAAGTCGTCCACTGAAGATCCTAGTGCTGTACAGCACCAAGTGTATTCATGTTACCTTGTGGGCTTTCCTTCATAAGCTTTCTAAGGAGTAATAATGCTGGGCAGCCAGGATGTTCTAGCAGACTATGCCTCCAAATACATAGGAGGAAGAGTTTCCCCCCTCACCCCACTGTCACTCTCCAAAGCTGTAGGTCAGATTAGTAGCATAAACCATAATGCTGCTAGTGGTAAGAGCCCGCAGTGGGCAGTGATGGTGATGGGGATCCACAGAGTGTTGCTTTTCCTCCATACTTGAGAATCCCTGTGTTTGGCTGGGAGAAGGGTAAAAGGGAGAAATTTTCTAACAAGCATGGCAGGCCATTGTAATCCTCATTGCAGAGGATTGCAATGGGAGGAAAAACTGTGACAGAAAACTTCTGCAGTTCAAGCCATGTGGGGAATGATAAGTCCAGTTTAGTTTCAGGATTACTGACTTAATTTTAGCTGCTTTCCATATTTGTCATCTATTTTATTTTTTATGTAGGGCATGTAATTGTACATTATACGCAAACTGCTTGTCAACTTTAGCTTTCGTCTCAGAACTGAGCTCTTTATTTGGGTATTTCTAGTAATTAAAATGATTTAACTTTTTATGAAATGGTAATATTTCTTCCTCTTGAGATCATTGGCTCAACGCTCATGCAAGACATGATCAAAGGTTACAGCTTTTGAGATCTGTTGCATGATCTTTATCAACAAAGTAGAAAGCCTCAATCCAATTTAAACTGAATGACTGTTCACATTATGAAACTATCATTAAGTTGGAGAATAACAGGAAGAGAGGATGCTCAAAAAGGAAGTAGTAAAAATATCAGATAAGTAATAGAGGACTGTATAGTATTTCTTTGTCACTGGAGAAAAATAAGTATTTTAGTAAGCTCTTGTTCCTTTTAATACTGCAAAAGTGATGTAACAGGGGAAGTTTAGATTGGATATAAGGAGGAAATTCTTTCCTGTTAGGGTGATGAGGCACTGGAATGGGTTGCCCAGGGAGGCTGTGGATGCTCCATCCCTGGCGGTGTTCAAGTCCAGGTTGAACGAAGCCTTGGGTGATATGGTTTAGAGCGAGGTGTCCCTGCCCATGGCAGGGGGGTTGTAACTTGATGATCTGAAGGTCCTCTCCAACCCTAACTATTCTATGATTCTAACTGGGAAGGTAGACTGGCTTCCAGGATACGTCACAGGATATCAGCCCATGGACAGTGTCTGAACTGGTATTTGAGGCTGTGAGGTTGTGATGGATTTCCATATCACTGGGAAAATTACAAGACTTGCCGTTAGGTACGTATGTATCATATGTGTAGTAATATATATAAAATTATATTTTAATGTTAGTAAATTGTTCAACAAATTTTGCTTTCCTTAGTTGTAATCTCCCATTGATGATATTATCTGAGTAAATTGAGAAAAATTATATGCAGAGGACCTTACCCATGAACACATGTGCACCCAACCATCGTGTCTTCATGTAGTAATTAACATTTGTAACACATATCTAAACCGGAAAAGATTGACAGGCCTGAAAGTAGTTGTTCTGGGGGGCAGTTTATCAAACCACTGTGGTGGTGGGGTGCCACCTAGCGATCTCCTTCCTTACAACAGCGTGGTGTGGAGGGAAGCATATTTCAGCCCCGAGCTTTCCTTTATCAATTCTTCTTATTGTTACCTTCCAGTGTCCACAAGGTTCATTTTACACTGTCCAGAAGACATGTACTGCCATGGTCCTTGCTCCAAATTTCTTGCATTCTCCTGGGTGATGGTATGATGGGATTTGACTCTATTTATTTATACCTCTGCAGTAGCCCATAAATCCTTCCAGTCAGGAAGCAATGGCTTATCATTTTCATGCCACTACAGTTTAAAACATGCATTAAATTAACTGCCTGGGGGTTGTGATCTCAAATAAATCAGTGAGCAAACATTTCTTCTCTAGTAACCCTTTCTGCACAAACACAAACATACCCCACTGATGCAAAACTCACGCATGCAGCAGGTGATTCTGCTTGTTTACCATAGAGGATGGGTGTCTCTTGAAAAAAGTGAAACACTCAGGGAAATAAATAACAGCCT